AAAAAAAATTCTCTCTCTCTCTCTCTCTCTCTCTCTCTCTCTCTCTCTCTCTCCTCTCTCACTCTCTCTTAAAAAAAAAAATAAAAATATGTCTGATATTTAGTCCTTCAATATCCTAGATGTAATGGAGAGCTAGCTACTTCTTATGATTTTATTCTTTCAGCAGTTTTCATTAGCTCCTCTTTTGTTTTCTAAGAATTGGGGACATATGTTTTAGAAAGCTAAGACACAATAAGTATAAAACAAATACACAGAATATTTAAAATGATTTAAGAGCCATGATTTTTAAAAATGTACCAGAGAATACCTTGGTTGGGGGCTACTTTAGATAATTTATTTCTAAGTCAATTTATAGAAGCCATATTCATGCAGTACTTTTTAAAATGTTTTGATTAGTGCATTATAGTTATACATAATATTGGGGTTCATTTTAACATAATCATACACGCATGGAATATAATTTGTTTCACTTTGGTCCACAATACTTTCTCTTTCCCTCATCTCCTCTCCCCCCTCCCTGTTTCCTCTCCTCTATTCTATTGGTCTTCCTTCTATTTATTGATAGTGATTTTTAAATTAGGGCTTTATAGATACACATTCTTTTTAGAGACAGTAATATCAGTTGGGTGTGGTGGTACACACCTGTAATCCCAGTGTCTTAGGAAACTGAGGCAGGAGGATTTCAAGTTCAAAGACAGCCTTGGTGACTTAGTAAGACCCTGCCTCAAAATTAAAATAAAAAGGGACCTGGGTGTAGCTCAGTGGCAGTCAACCCCTAGGTTAAATTGCCAGTTCTACAGAAAAACAAACAACAAAACAGTAATACTACATTCTGCATCTATCTTATTCCAGTGGAACAATATTTTATAGAAAAATTCCCAGGCTTCTTCTTCCAAAGCCTGACTGGTGGAAACAGTAAAATTTAGCAGAGAAAAAGTGAAAAGGCTTTTGGTGTATTTTTTTTCTCTTTTGGCTGGGCTTCCTGCCATTGCTTAGTTGAAACTGGGTGAAAGGCTTTATTGTTCTCTCAGTTCCTGGAAGACTAGAGCCAATACTGAAGCCACTGCTTTCTTTCTGTGCTTCTGTTGTTGCTTCCAAAGGTTTGTTTATATTGCCAAAGTACATAGAGTTCCTTTTCACTAAAGAAGAATATTGTACCATAAGTCATTTAAAATCCAGATAGACTGTCAGGAATTTTAGTCACATCTTAAAAGTGCTTCAGAATCATAGGAGTTGAGAAAGTAGAGTAGTCTTTCTTCTTTTTCTCTTTATTTAATTAGGGTAATTAACAAGTACCCATTTAATAACTACTTTGTTCCCAGAATTGTCTTTAGAAAGTAGAAAGTCTAATTGGAGGGGCAAAATTAATACATAAAAATAACAGAAATCAATCAATAAGTTAGTATTTCACAGTGAAGGATATCAGATTATAAAAAAAAAATTCTCAACTGAGGTGAGACTTAAGCAGGTTTTTGGAATTGTTCATATAAATATAGGAGGAGGCATGAAGAAAGGGTACTTTGAGGGGGGAAATACCATGAGTGCAGCCTGAAGGCAGGAATGAGCTTGACTTGTGAGGCCAATGAAGAGACTAACCTTAATAGAATGGATTTTGCATACTGGAGGATAATTATAAACAAAACTGGAGAAGTTAAGTAGGATCAGACTATGTCAACCATCAAAAGGTTTTCAGTAGGGAGTGACATGATCAAAGTGATGTTTAGGAAATATTGGTTGTGACAATACACATTGTAATGAGGAGAGACTGATCTGAAGGAAGCTAATTTACATATGAGGTGAAGAAAAGACACACTGAATGGGTGGTATTAGAAATAGAGTGGAAATGAGTGGTGATCTGTGCCTGTAGTCCCAGCTAATCAAGAGACTGAGTCAGAAAGTTCACTTAAGTATATAGCAGTTTAAGGCCAGCCTGGACAACGTTTTGTTTCCAACAAACAGCTGGGTGTGGTGGCCTGTACCTGTAATTCCAGTGACTCAGGAGGCTGAGGCAGGAGAATTCCAAATTTGAGGCCAACCTTAGCAACTTAGCAAGTATTTGTCTCAAAATAAAAATAAAATAAATAAATAAAAGTGTTGGGATTATCACTCAGTAGTAGCTCCTGGGTTCAGTCTCCAGTACCAAAAAAATAAAAGGCTTCTTGGAGGTGATAGGTGAGGCATAATAATGAAAAAAGAATCATTGAGGAACCCTGCTATAGAGATGTGAAGTAAGATCTATCAGTAAGGAGGTTGTGGCAAAAGAAGATAAAGACAGCATTTCAAATAGAGGCAAGAGACTATAAATAAATACATTTAGATGATAATAAATTTAGGCTTACTACTTTACTTTTTGTAAAAAACAAATTCTAAATTAATAAAAAAGCTACACACACACACACACAAAATAAACCCTTGAAGGGCTGGGACTGTGCCTCAGCGGTAGAGCACTAACGTAGCATGTGCGAGGCAAATATGGAAGCAAATATGGTAGAATATTTTTTGTAATCTTAGACTGACGAAATCTGTCCTTTGAAATATACAAAAAAGAAAAAAAATGACAAATGTAACAACACAAAATACATAAAAGCACCAAGAATGAGGTTGAAAGACAAATAATAAAGTTATATAAAGTATTTGCCATGTATCAAGGAGCTTGATATTAAATCAGAGACACGGCATCTGATAGAAGAAAAAGTTGGTTATGATCTACATACTGTGGGATCAGGCTCCAAATTCCTCAATAGGACACCCATAGCGC